GTCGCAGCTTCGATGGAATAGCATCGTGAAAGGGGGTATTTCCACGGTAGTCTGTGGCATTAATATCAGCACCATGCTGGATGAGAAGGTTCATTGTCTTTATCATAAGCTCTATGTCCTTCTGGCCGTTGTCAATATTAGACAATCTGGTCTGTGCTAAGATGTGCAGACCTTATCCCTGGTCAGCAAACTTTCGTATTCAAGGAGCTGGACATGTCCCTACAGGATGTTCCCTCGAAATCGGTGGCAGTTTCATCGGCCCCATTTGCCAGCAGGCTGGCAATGAAATGCTGTTCACCCTTTTCGCAGGCCGCCATCAGCGCCGTCCTCCCGCGACGATCCCGCGACTCGAGTTCTACACCTCTTTTGATAAAGAGTGGTATCACCTCACCCGTTCATCGCCAGTCCTATCATACCACCGCAGGCTGTACAAACACGTCTCCCCAAGCCGGTTGCGAATGGTTGGATCAGCAAGATTGAGCCAAGTCTCGAGTGTCGACAAGCCAACCGACCAGCTCTTGCAGAGATGATGCAGGGCAGTAATTCCCTCCAGGTCCTGGAGATTGAGATCTGCTCCACAATCGAGGAATGGCTGCAGGCCATAGCGAGAACGCTGCACCGCCATCATGAGAGGGGTAAGTCCATCGCTTCTGCGCGGTTGGTTGATATCTGCTCCGGCGTCAACCAGGAGATTCATAGCACGGTGATGGTGCGCGAGTCCATGCAAGGGTGTATTGCCGTCGTGATGAGTTGCCCATAAGTTAGCGCCATGCCGCAGCAGAAGGGAAACAATTTGATCTTTATCAGAATCAAGGTTGAAGCACTCGCACCAATAGAAAAGAACGGTTTTACCTCCACTATCTTTGATTCCAAGATCGCTTCCAGCTCTGATGAGTAGCTCTGCGGTCTCCTCCCACTCTTCAATGCTCGGCTCATAAGCACCCCGGGGTGTGAAACCTGTTCCTCGCGCCCAACCTTGCAGCGGCGTCCAGCGAGTAAATGGCAGACCCTGGGAGTCAACTGGAGTTCCTCTGCCGAGCTTGTTGATAAGGCCCGGGGAACAGGCATGCACATCGGCACCATGCTCCAGCAACAGGCGTACACTAATAGGGTCGCGGGCGCGCGCCGCAAGATAAAGTGCCGTTTTATGTTGCGAATCAATTTTGTTGACATTGGCCTGAATCTCAGGGTACTCGAGGAGGACACTCAACGTGTTCACGTGGTATGGGATTGCCCATTGCAGCAAGACCGTGCCCCTTCTCTCCGGGCCAATATGACGAAGTAGTACAGACGTCGCATCGGCATTTCCCAGCTCGCATGCATATATCAGTGGCGTTTTGCCAATCAAGGAAGAATCCCGCCAACGTTCCGACTATGGTGGATTACTGTGGTACTGGGGATGCATTGGATCCGCGCCGGCATTCAGCAGACATTGCAGAGCTCGAACGTGGTCCCCCTTAGCGGCATGGTAAATGGGAGCAAGCCCGCGGCGATCTTCGCTGGCAAACTCCGCTTGATGCCGAAGCAGCGCCTCAATTGTATCGGCATAGCCACTCATGGCGGCATGCGCCGTCGCCGTCCGTCCGGCTTTGTCCACGATATTTGGATCATGGCCTTGCTGAAGAAGGTGCTCCGTGTATTTGGTGAATCCGACTCGCGCAGCAATATGGAGAGGCCGTAGATCGTCAGTATAATCCTCCTCCTTCCTGGCGGTAAACCAAAAGTTCTTCCAACTTTTGAAGGCATGACTACCATCCCGAAAGAAGTCGTCCAATGCCTGCATAAAGTTTCTGTCGTCGGTACTGCACTTCGACGCATGGTGGAACATATTGAGCGCCGCGTACTGAAGGAATGGGAATTGAACCAAAGGTTTACCCCTGCGCTGCTTCCAGAAATCATCATAGGTATATTCGTCATACTCATCTTCAGTATCCTCCTCATCGCAAGAACCGTGTCCACGCTCCCACGGCGCAAAGCATCCAGTTCGCAAATAGCTAACGCAGGCTAGGGCCAGTGAGTGATGGGTTGGCACAGGCGCGAGAGCAGGAAACTACCGATCGCCTTCCTGAGCACTTGGTCGACTATCATCCATTAGGAATTCCGTAAAGGAATGATGGATTACTTGTACTGTCTCGTCGTCTCGGACTTCAAGGAGTGGACCACAAGCCGTGCACACCATGAGCTTTCTATTCTGGTCTCCTTCGAGCCCCCCTGGGTCATCGATTGAGTTAACAAGGGCCGCCAACTCAAATACGAGAAGTGGGCGAGTAGCATGTGTAATCCAAGACAAGAGCCAGGCTTGGAAGGGAGGGCCTGCCCCGGAGCGCGACGCATGCTCTTGCAGGATATAACAGTACATCTCCTCAAGTGAACTGGGAAATTCATGTAAGTCTTGATCAACCGGGCCGTTGTCCCTTCGATTAAACGATCGAGGACTAATCGAGCGTACAGAAACAGCCCTTTGCTTCTCCGACAGAGCGTACTTTGAACGCGTGTTTGGTCATGTTCAGCGAGTGGTTGCGGTCGCTGCTTTAGACGATGGGTTATGTATGTCGCAATATCAGCTTGAACAGCACGCTCGCTCAGCCGCATGACACCCAGTGAGGGGCCTCTAAGCACGTCCAGCAGGTAAGAGAGAGGTCGGCTTGTCATGGGCAGCTTGATTGATGCCGGTCTCTTCTGGGACAGGGCGAGAAGGACTGACAGGAAATCATTCTCTTCCACAGTCAGCTCATCCAAAGCGTCAATCATGATGTAGGCGCGCGGTAACGTGGAGAGAACCATGAGAAAAGGCCGACCATAGCTAATGAAATGGCACGTCTTCTACAATGGGCTGTTGGTTTTTCACCACTTTGAGTCGTGCCTGGAGGTTAACGCTATAGCCGAGCAACTGGGACAGGAAGTCCCGGACAACATTGTGAGTGTTGTTATTGGAGTTGATGATACGACGGGCGAAAAAGAAGGCCACTGGGACCGTCTCGCGCTGCAGGGTCTCCATAAGTCGCGCGGCGACAACAGATTTGCCACTGCCCGGGATACCCTGAATCCAGAGACCTCCGGTCGTGGTTCCGTCGTGCCATTCACGGTACGCCTCGATCTCGAAGACCCAGTTACCGGTTCCTGGGGCATGGGCGTTCAGATGTTTGCGATATTCGCCTCCTTCCGTGTCGAACTCCGTCGGCGATAACCACGAGCGTGTAGCGTCAATATCCCGCTGAGTGACTAGAGGTTGTTTTGATTCATCGACAGCCATGGTACAAAAATGAGGAGAGGAAAAGAGAAGGGAAAATGTTGAAATGTCTATCGGGCGTTACGGTACCCGAAGGGTTTGATGCAGGTGGCAGGAGCTACCGATGGCATGAACCGAGTTCGTCCTGGCGTCCAACAAACCCGCCCATTCATCATTCATGATTCGAGATTGATTGACTCGATTGGCGGCCACATCCGCTCAATGGGTCCAATGGGCCCCGCTAAAGACATCGAGGTGGGAGTGAGCCTCAGTTTCAACAGACATCGGCCTTGAGAACAGGTTCCTCACCGCGAAGGGGAGCAAACAGAAACCACCGGTGTTACGTCAACATCAATGTCCTCTTGACTGGAGTTACAGGCTAGACATATGTATGCACACCTATCCTCCGCTATCCGAGGCCAGGCACTAACTTCGGGTCCAACAGCGGCACCCTCCTAAGGACCCTTCCAGCCTCCAACGTTGCCTCAATGAACAAGGCGACAATATCGGTTCTGGTCCGAGAAGCCGATCAAGCCCGCCTGCTGAACGAAAAGGGCGTAACGCCTAACCAGTTCGGCGGCTTCAGGGTTTGAGGTCGACCACGCAACGTCATTGATTCGGCGTCTCGCTGAGAGGAAGAATGCCTCCGGGGCAGAGGTGCGCTATATCCATGTGTAGCTTCTCGGGTTCTTGTGCTTCTGCATTCTCTCCAGTAGAGCTGACTGGGGAATTCAGACATCCGGAACCATGAATTACGCCCATAGCCCTCTTTTGAGCCTCTACCCGGGTCACAATCTCCTCACCATCTCTCCAGCTCAAGGGTCTCCGCGGATGTCATCAGGTCGGTTGGCTGGCAGTGGTCAAGCGAAGCTACCTGGGACTTCATCGAACCGTAGTGAAAGGCTGTGCCCAACGAGAGGAAGTACCTTTACTAATTGAATGGGAGATTTATGTCTCGGGAGTGTTTTCGTCCTGACCTTTAAATTGGTTTAAACTCGCCCTGTCAAACTACTCCGGAGACAATGTCCACGACAATATATATCTCCAGTCGCCTGAAGAATCGTCTTCCAGTGAGGTCGTTAGGTTCTATTCTCATAATGTCACCCATTAGACTCGTGTCGAATTCAAATATATCAAGCCCACACCACATCTTCACCAAACCATCTTCGTAATCGCCGTCGGGGACTCGGGGCTCGGGGATCTTGGGAATGGGAACGGCGACTGGCCCCACTCGACTTTTTATCTTCAACTCCCCGCCCCTCCCCCCTCTTCTCCTCTTTTCCTCCTCCAACTTTTCATCAGATCACTCACTCTCCATCAAAATGTGCATGAAAGCCACCTGCCCAACATGCCGTACGTCTATTTCTTGCCCGTCGAATATAATATTCTACTGACACCTTTCCTTTTCAGAGAAAACCACCTGGTGGGGATGCGGCGCCCACATCCCCGCAGTTCTTGACGCCGTCCCCGAGAGCGAACGCTGCTCCTGCGAGCCCAAGGTCGAGCGCGACGGAAAACAATACCCTCCAAAGGGTTCGAATTGACTATCCGGATGCGAGATCCTATGAACCGCTCGCGAGATACACGGAGTTGAGGTGAATGGCTCGGTTCGGTGTCGGAGTTACAACGGGAGAGAGAGGTGTTACAAAGCGACATTCCACTGCATTGCATTGTATCGCGTGCTATTTTGTCATACAAATATGATATGATATGCTATTCGCTACATGATTCATGGCCTCATCTCGAAGACTGCGTTGCCTGTGCTGCGACACTACAGAGCCTCCCGGCTGTGGAAGCATCCCTTCGCACTGTGGCGGTGCACAGTCTGGCGCTTCTTAGGCATAGTCCGGCGGTGCATGTGTCCGTTCACATCGGACCGCTTGACAACAGTCGTCACATTGGTCTTGGGGATTGTGCTCAGGTCGTTGGCGTACGTGGCGACCGCAAACGCCGTGGCCTTGGAGTTCATCAAGTACGCCTCGGTGTTGAGGTTGTCAAAGGTGTCGCCGACCTGGTGGTAGTTCTCGTCGTACGCAATACCGGCCTCACCACCCCAGAGCGCAACCTCTTCTTCAGTCTTGACGCCCTCCGCGCCGGTGAACACTCCACCAGCCGGGATGCCGTTGAGGATGAAAGCCTCGTAGTCGGAGCGGCCGTCGAATTCGGTCTCCATGGTCGCCTGGCCGACGGACTGGAAGTAGTCGTAGAAGAGCTTCTCGATGGCATCGGAGCCAGCGGGGCCAGTCAGGTTGAATGCCGATCCATCTCCGTCGTACAAGAGGAGACCGTAGTTGGGGGACGCGATCATGTCGAAGTTCAGGTACAGTCTGATCTTGGCGAGCTCGGCAGGCGAGAGCGAAGAGACATAGTACTCACTTCCCAGCAGACCGAACTCCTCGGCGGTCCAGAAGCAGAAGCGCACGGCATGCTTGGTGGAGAACTGGGTCAGGGCACGGGCGATGATGAGGTTGGAGATGATGCCCGAGCCGTCGTCGTTGATACCAGGACCAGCCTCAACGGAGTCAGAGTGGCCACCGAGCGAAACGACGTTGTTGGGGTCGCCGCCCTTGGTCTGAGCAATGACGTTGTACGTGGTCCGGTTTTCCATGACGGACTCGATCCACAGGTCGACAGTGACAGGACCCGCCTCAGTAAGGGCAATTAGAGCCTCACCATCTGCAAGCGTGATTCCCACGATACCCGCGTACGGACCCAGTTCGCTTTGCGCAGCACCGAGAGTACCAGAGACTGTTCCCTCGACGTTGTTGTACACAATGGCGGCCGAGGCACCTGCAGCAGCGGCGTACACCGACTTCTCGCCGAACGTGCAGTTTCCACGCTGGATGAGGGCGACCTTGCCGGCGACATCAGCAGGGAAGTCGGCTGGACCACAGCCAAGCCCGGAAATAACGGCGAGCTCAGCACCGGTCGCGTTGGCGCTGGGAGAGTACGTCATGGTCTGGGCTTCGATGGCCTCTCCGTTGACAGTCAGCGACTGCTCGGCATTGGTGTACAGATGCACCTGCGGCTGCCTGTAGACATCATAGTAGCCGGTCCGCTTGAGCTCGCGATACAGCCAGTTGACGGTGTCGTTGTGGGCTTTGCCTCCGAAGACACGGTTGCGGTCGGGGTAGGCGTAGGCGAAGTCCTGGAGTTGCTGCGAACCTTCGAGGAGGTCATCGAGCTTGATGAGGTCTTGCAGAGCATCCTGTCCACCTGGTCAGTCACTTTCAAAAGCTCGGGTAGTACAAGGTTGTTAACTCACCGGAGTAACGAGGGGTTTCGGCTTCGCAGCCCAAGCCAAGGAGGCAAGGGAGAGAGCTGGGACAAGGATGGACTTCATGGCTGCACTGACGACTGCTGATCCCTGGCCATCTTGCCAGGAAGCCCGGTCCCTTTTATAACCCTCCTCTGGCAAACATCGCGCCACCGCTGCTGGGAAAGATGCACGCAGATCAGTCAACTTGACGCCGCGTCCCGTTACATCGCGTCCCTGAGCCAAGCAGCTTGGCAATCACGGTGCAAAGTGCCAAGGCAGATAAGAACCGGCGTCTTGCGGTGCAGATGCCAATCGAAGCGTCCGATCGCGTGCGCCGGATCGCGGGTTGGAGTTACAGCCAAGAAGAGGGGTATCTCCAATATGCCTTATCACGTTCGCTTTACTCCGTACGTCTCTCTCTTATCGCAGTTGGGGGATTCAGGGGAGCTTCGCAGCAGCCTGGGAATTTGGATACTGACTGATTGCTCAAAGAAAGTTCCCAGCCCCCGGCGCCTCTACCGTACCTAAAAATCAGCTCAGCACAGACGGATGATCTGACGCCTCCTGCAGGTTGCCACCGGTCCAGACCCCGGCCTATAATATCGCCTTCAAGTTTCCAATATGAAGGTGCGCCCGCTTCGCGATAGAGTCCGCGGATGCCGAAACCCCAACTTTCTTGCGATGCAACATTGCAACGCCCACCTGCTTAATCCAGGAATCTGTCTGCGTGCCTGCAGAAACTAGCGTCCATGCACCTTGAGCTTCAGTGGCCGAGGCTAAGCGACTTCGGCTTCCGAGACCTGCCTTGCGGGCGTTTGTATAGCTAGGGGAAGAGGGAAGCGCGGCTGGAAACTGGTCAAGGCCGTTTTGTTTGCGGCAAGGCTCGTGGAGTCGATGACCGTCTGCCGCGCGCTCTCTTTTTTTAGGAATCACGGTAACCTGCTGACCGGTCAGTTCAAATCCAAATCATCGTTGAATTTAGCTCATAACCCGCATGGACTGACATGTTTACGTCCCAACAGTTCGATTTCAAATCATGGTCGAATTTAGCTCATAGCCCGCATGAACTCACATGTCAACGTCCCAATCTTTGACTCATCCTTGTCGTCTAGACTCTAATGCAGGACTCAAGCTTTCCAGAAGCTGCGACGCACCTCGCTTCAGGGATACGCCGAGAAATTGATGCATCGAGTGATTTCAATCGCATCCAAGCATGCCGTGCTCAAGGTCAACCTTGGTCCTCGCGAGTCGGGTATCTTTGTCTCTCAGCCATCTGAACATGGAAATCCGGCTCGAGAAGGTCTCAAATATAGTTGTCAAGGCTTCTGCAATGTGAAATCCATGGCTGTCTTCATGTCTTCACCCACTCTGCCGTTATCAATGGGAGCGCCCATGTTCTCATTAGTGGCGCCAAACACTCTTTGTAGTCAAGGTGGCCGCCTGGATCAGCAAGAGCATAGCCCACGCGGTCGGTAATCGCAGTGGACATGTTCATGTCAGGGATTGAGCGTTGATTTAAGCATGCCACCAACTCCCAAGGTCCTTCGATCCTAAAATACACGAAGCTTGGCTTAGCTTCTCCTGACGATCGACGACAAAATAAGTAGATCGGGAGGGGACCTTGGTGGATGAACGTGGGTCGAGGCAAAGATTCGTTAAAGTTAGGGCTTGCTGGACACCGAATGACACAGCTATCTATCAGAACGTTTCCATGCGTTGCGCGAGGCATCTTGCGCAAGAACTCTCATTTGCGACTGCTTGTTACTGTACCCCTTACTGCGCGCGCTTCGCCATGATTCCTGCCATCTTGTCTGCCAAATGTCCCTGCAACATGCGCCGATGGCCCTCTGACACCCCCATACGCATATTCATCTTCTCCGCCGCGCTAGCAACACATTCTTCCAACGTCGGCGCATTTCCATCGTCCCAGTTATCCCTTTCCAACTCGGCTTCCTTGCGTTTCACGGCATCCTTCCAAACGATCTCAAGCTCCTCTTCCAACCCCAGCTTCCTCGCGAATTCTCTCAACCCATCGTCACAATCACCAAGAACAAGGACATCATTCTCGCGCGAGCCGAAATCGCCCACGATTTCACGATTTACCAGGACCCGCGGCACATGCGTCGGAAGCTTCCGGGGCATTTCAGACAACGGCGCAACTTTCAGACTCGTCCCAACGACAAGGAGCAGATCTGCCTGCGAAAGCATCTCCTCCTCCTTGCCCGCAAACTCACCAGGCAACGACTCGCCAAACATAACAATATCCGGCTTCACGTTCCCGCCGCATCCATCTTTTAAACAAATCGGTACCGTACCCGACAAAATCGCCTTCTTCATCAGGTCCGCGGGGTAACTCGCTCCGCACTCACACAGTGCTGATCCTTCCAACTCCCGTGGACATTAAGCACCTTCTCTTCGCTCACCCCAGCGTCTCTCTCCAACCCATCAACATTCTGGCTAAAAATATAACCTAGCATCCCCCTCCTCTCCAAAAGCGCCAAGAACGCATGTCCAACAGCTGGCTTCGCATTCATTGGATGCCGAGCGCGGGCAATGGCATAGAATGGCTCGGGCGTGTGGTTGAAGTACGAGATGTGGAAGGGTGCTTCTGGGTAGGGCAGTGCGAGGGCGGAGAGCTTGGCGTACAGCCCTGTATCCGGGGAGCGGAAGTCAGGGAGACCGGAGGAGGTTGAGAGACCGGCGCCGACGAGGACGACGATATTTTTGATGGCGCCGCGGTGGATGGAGGCGGTGATTGTAGATAGGGTGGGTTTGTCTGGTGAGGATGGTGTGGTCGACATTCTTGGAGGTGGGTTGGTCGGTGTAGGGCGAGAAAGGAACAGGGGGGCAGAAGAATCCAGGATGATGAGGGTGAGTTGTCTGTAAAGCTCCGGTAGTTGAAAGCACAGCTTCTTATACTCCTGCTGCCTGCAGCCTGTGGATCCGGCCAATAAAGCTTTCGCCTTCAAGAGTTGTGGATAGGCAACCAGCTGAGGAGGCTGTGCGTCACCAAGGAAACAGATCATGTGACCAGTAGGTACAGTAGATCTACAATGGATCAGTTTAAATAGTCCCAATGGATCAGGCTAAACTAAACCCAACGTAGGCGTTGTGGAGTGAAGTCAGACCCGAGCTTGGATGGTTATAAGGCATACCTGCCCAGGCAAGCCCTAACTCAGTTAGGCAGAGATAGAAGCTGGCAGTGACCCCTAACCACATTACAATCTTCTCCCTAAGGTTAGGTATTGGTCAGAAGTGAATTAGGTGCAGCTCCGCCCACAGATTCTCTCAGATTGTTGTTTCTTTGGACAAGAACAACGCTGGAAGGTCGATTCTCTCTGTCGAGATGTCCGTCATAGACACCATGCTCTCAAGCGCGGACTCCCTCTAACGTACCCAACCAGGAAATAAACTACCCGCAGCTCCAGATAAGCTGCTTATTCCGATACTGGAGGAGGGCTGAGGATGAGCTTGGATATGGTTATCTCGCTCTTTATCCAAGGTTCTTTAATCGCAGTTAACGTATATGTACTCCTATGCCTCTGCAGTGTCCAGGTGTCCGAAACCGAGGCCGAGGCCCCAGGTCGAATTATCCAACCCTATGTCGCAGCGAATTGCAAACGGCCTGTCGTGGTAGCCACTTGCCGTGCTAGCTTCCCAGTCTCCTAAACCTAGCGCCACAGGTAAATTAGCCCTACAAGTGAGCATACCGGAGTCCAGCGTGTTCCAGGGTAACCCATGATCTTTAGTTCGTAGCTACGTAGCATAAAGCACCCATCCCCATGCCAGTACATGTGCTCTCCCATTCTCCGTACATAAAGATTCCACCAATTACGGTTCACAACAATGCCTCAACTCCTTACTCTTTCTCAACCCCAGGAACAACGCGTACGAATGTCCCAGGATATCATCCCCTTTCCAGCCCGAGATGTCAGCGGCGCCTCAGCCCTTGCACTCGATCATTCAATGCAGATACAGTCGATTGCCCTGGCGTGGCGCAGCCAAGCCACAGAAAGAATAATGTCGCACAACCACCCCGGGAGGAGAGAATCAATAGGCTGATGTTGCGCGCTGCCGGGGTCAGCCTCGTCGACGTGGCGGTGACGGACACGCGTCCACGACAGAAGACCGAGGTGGACGAGGCTGGGGCTGTGCAGCAATGGATTTCTTTGCTGCTGACTTTGCGAGGGGCTTTGTTGCTTTGAAGAAATTTCATCCTCCCCTTCATCGTCACCAGTGTATTATCCAGATAATCGGTCTATTGTCGCCTGTTCATGAGCAACGATGAGCGGCGCTAAGCGACCAGTGCCGATTGAGCCTGGGGCCAGGGAGGATAGCAGCAAGCGCTTATGCCTGGATTTCCATGGTCGCCCGGCAGACAATAGCTGGGGTACTAATCCAACTTTCGCGATCGACAATAGCCACACGTCCCTGGGGGACTATACCCACCTTCAACAATGTATGGCCAACGATGGGACGGCCCAGGAGATGCCAACAATAGCCGTTCAGGGTTGTTTGTGGGGAGGTAGTGCTGGGGCGATGGACGGTACATCAGGAGGGCCTATGACTGCGGATGTTCCGATGATGGGTTACGATTATACAGGCTTCCAAGGTACATCGTGGGTGGGCATCGACGGTCTGCCGATGATGGCACCTCCCAATTCAACCTATCAGACCAACCAAACATATCCGAACTGGTGCGAGCAGCAGAGTTCAATGCCTTTTGATAGTGGGTCCCGCGCACTCTATGTTGCTTGCTTATTAGTATTAACAATCGCTAGGCATGGCAAGTCTCAACAACTACATGAATCCAACCCAGTTGGTAGAACCGGGCGATTTGAACCTGAATTGGGAAAGCTCAGCATCAGCAGTCGAGAGTGATGCTTCTTTTCTCGTGCCAGAAACAACCAACTGCACAGGCACACCGGCCGAAGAGTTGATCGTAATCACACCATCGTCGGCAAATGCCGACGTCGAGATGTCGCAGAAAATGGCTCAGCAAGTGGCGAGCAGTTCCCCTTGCGACCAAAAGATCGTATCGTCTAGTGAACAGCATGACGTGGATGACGAGGTAAAAGGGAGTGAGTGGGATCTCGGGGAATGTGACACTTGCTTTGGAGAGGTGCGTCTCTTTTCGCATATCTCGCACCCGCCCATGCTAATGCAGGTAGATCGTTGCTACTGCAACATCAAGCTTTGAAGGCCAAGATGGCAAGGAGTCCGCTCGCGTTCGGATCAGACCCTTTGGCAACGTTCTTAAGCTCTCACTCGCAGAAACAGAGACGTATGCTGGGATTCTCTGCATGCCGGGCCTTGTCACGCTTCTTCAGAAGTGTTCCGTGGAGCTTGTTGCAACCATTTTTGCCGGACACTCCAAGTCAAAGCCAAAGTCTAAATTAAAACCCAAGTCTAGAAAAGACGCAAAGACGGACTCTGGTGAGTATTGTGATCCAACAGTGCGGATTCTCGTCTACGGATTGCTCGACGAAATGGACGCCGTCGCAGCTTGCTTGTCAGAGGCAGGGCTTTTCTTGCAGCACCCGACAACGGCGGAATATAGGCCGGGAGTCTCCTACAACAACCCGCATTATCTTCTCAGGCCTGGAGGCGTGATGCCGCGGCTGCAAGACTTGACAATTAAAGAGGAAGATTCCACTCTGCCGGGATCATTGTCCGAGAGCGAGAAAAGCAAGATCATGCGGGTGTTCGATTGTGCTAATCACGCGGTTGGTGGCGCCAACCTTGAAATCGCGTCAAGCCCAAGACTGGCCACAGACTTAAAGGAGTATGTCGACGTTCGTTGCAACCCTGGCTAAAGCTGACGGAAACTCTGTTAGGCATCAGTTGGTAGCCCTGTCAATGATGGTGGAAAGAGAGTCTGGCAGCATAGACGATCTAAGATTCCCGTCGCTGTGGGAGCGCTCACCGGGTGATCAGAAAGAGTATGTAAGCTGCAGACTAACGTACCAAGAGGGCATTTTGTTTGACACAGAACATTGTGCTAGATACCGCCATGTCGTAACGGGTAAGACCGAAGCCAAACCAGTCCCGCTGCGCGGCGGTCTTCTCGCAGACGTATGCTTCTTACTTTCTTGCTGTTGCTGGAAACGGCGTTTGCTGATGCTAAACAGGAGATGGGTTTAGGCAAGACCCTGAGTTTGCTGGCCCTCGTCTGCCAATCGCTCGACGGGTTTGACAAGAAACGGCCACCGGTCGATTATCCAAAAGGAACACTCCTTGTTACACCCAAGTCCAGTAAGTCCGTGAGCGTTTTGTCAGTCATGAGTCAGTGCCTAACGACTTGCGAAGCCATTCCTGGTTGGGAGGCACAAATCACGAGGTAAGAAACTGCAGGATCCGCTATTCAGCAAGTCCTTATCAGAAGGTGATGTGAGAATAGGCATATCAAACCGGGAGAAGTACGATATCTGGTTTATCATGGGTCCAACCGCCGAGGAGCGAAGCGAGGACTCTCGAAAAACTATGATATTGTGATAACCACGTATGAGACGTTGCAGCGAGATGTGAGCACTGATGGTGTGTTGCATGGCGAAAGCTGGTACCGCGTGGTTCTTGATGAGGGTGAGTACAACCAAGCGTATCCCAACTACTATAGCAGGTTTGTCAGAGTTAACACGAGATTTCATAGCTCATCGTATTCGGAATCGATCTTCTCAGAACTTCAAGGCTGCCACTGCGGTTAAGGCACACTTTCGATGGTGTCTGACAGGCACGCCGATTTACAACTCGTTAGATGACTATTGCTCCCTTCTCAGTTTTCTGCAGGTGCCAATGTTCGGTGACAAGCGCTCATTCGACCACTGGATAACAGCACCTATGAAAAGAAACCAAGAATTTGCCCTTCAGTCTTTGCAGGATCTGGTCGGTGCCACATGTTTCCGGCGGACAAAAGCCATGGTGAAGGCAGGGGTCGAACTTCCAATAAAGAATGAAAGAATCGAGACAGTGCACCTCTCAAAGACAGACAGGGAAGTGTACAAGTTCTTCCAGGCTAAGGCATCAAAAGCGGCGGGACAGATTAATGGTCCCGAGCAAGGTATGTCGGGTATACGGGAAGAGCGGAGAGAAAATACACTTGCTATTATCAACATCCTCCGACGTATTTGCAATGCCGGGGAGCGGCTTCTTCCTGCTTCGGCAGTAGCAGAATGGCACGCACACCAAGGGGATCTGAGAGCAGAGGTATTCGCTGCGCGGCCAGCACTTGGACTGTCACCGGCGTCGAGTTCCGCTGGCGACGATAACAACGGTAGTCCACAAAGTGATCGCGAGTTGATTGAAGAATCTGGATGTCCTCCAAGCGTCGGAGCCTTCCGTTCGGCCAAGGTGCAAGCGCTTTTGAGAAATCTAGCCAAGGAGCAGAGGGCAGAGAGAGAGCGCGCACCCAACCACAGTAAGAGGTGAGATTGTTAGCGAACCGTGCGTAGCTATCCACACCAAGTGTCTAACTAATCCCGAGTAGCGTCGTGTTCAGTCAATGGACAGATATGCTTGACCTCGTCGCCGAATCCCTGAAAGGAAGCGACTACCAATATGCCCGAATTGATGGACAATCAAGCCTCCAGACCCGGCGCTCAGAGATCCAGAGGTTTGGCAAGGATATCCATTGTACAGTAATGCTGGCCAGTATTGCCAGCGCCGCTGAGGGGTAGGTACTCGATGATGCACTGCCGGACGGTCAATGCCCCCGCTGACAATGCAACCATAGGATTGACCTTACCGCAGCGCGATACATCCATCTTCTCGAACCCCACTGGAACCCAATGGTTGAAGCGCAGGCGGTGGACCGTGTCCATCGAATCGGACAAGCTTGCGATGTAACTGTCACCAGATATCTGACAGCAAGTTCTATAGAAGATGTACGTCTTCATACACCCAGGGCATATCAATAAGAAACTAATCGGACGGCAGTATGTCCGGTGGATTCAAGACGACAAGAAAAGGCTCATAGAACAGTCTCTTGACGCTGTCACCGACACACAGCTAGAACTTGACCGTCATAGATGTGAAGTGAGTTTGGCGTCTCCTAACTGCCCTCACATTACTGACAGTAAGGTAGAAGCTGCGCCAGTTTCTCGGGGCCCAGCAAGACCGCGACGTTGATTAAACTGGGCAGACCGACCGGGACGAATTAGAAGCTCAAAAGTGCTTGACCGTCAGATGCCGTTTTTACCTTCGTGGGTGGCCAGCCGGATAGAAGGAATTAGACTGCATGTTTTCAGCCTTGGAAGAATCATGTCACAACCCCTTCCTGTATTCCGCTGCCTGCGCCACCAACTGAGTCCAGGAAACTCCAAGCCAACGGGACATCTCGCGAGCGCATATTCCATCTGACGCCTTCGTATCCTTTCTCTTCCTCTTCCTGTCGACTCTATCCGTTGCATCTGGATTTGCACCAGCGAAAAGGAGGAACCTAACGAATTCGGCGTTCTCGGCCGAAGACTTTCGCGTGGCAAAGCACAGTGGCGAGACCATAGCTTCGTTCTCCTTCTCCAAACGGGCCCCGTATTTGAGGAGGGCCTGTCCCAGAGGAATAGAGCATGTCGTTCTTGCGACATTTGATAGGGCAAGCGAGTATTGCCTTGATTTAAAGTTCATGTCCAATCTGAAGGTGTCCCAGAGCGAAATCAAATATTCTTCCCTTTCCGTGATCCTAGAAGAGGCCGCTATTAGATCAGTGTGAAAGCAATCCCATAAAAGTGACTTAATGTAGATCCCAGAGTTAGTCTTGTGGATCCCCTGGCTCAACTCGCTCTTGATGGATTGCCTGGTCAACGTATAAATTTCAGGAGAGGTGCTCCTAATCAAGGCAGCCATGGCAAGTGTATTGCAACGCATCAGCCCACAGCCATGATTGAGAAGCCATTCAATAATGGCGGGATCACGTCTCTCACAGGCTTCAAGGAATGTAGGGTTATCAGTCACGAACTCTGGCTGAGGTATGTTAAAGAGCTCCAACATAGCTATTGAACCGAATTTGCCTAACGCCCAGCGTAGCCGATAGTTATCCTCCCGCCTCATATTGTCGAGTTTGACACCTTGGAGCACAGCTTCAGCGGTTGCAACTTGGTCTTTCTTGATCAGGTCGATCAGTATTGGTCCTATTTCGGGCTCAGTCAGGTTCTCTTGCTCGATATTCGCGTTGGGAGCGGTATCTCTGTGGGCCTTTCGCAAGTGTTGTCCTCTCATGTTTTCGGAGAGAAAGCCCGTCTTTTCGTACTCGCAGCCGGAAACCTCACATTTCCATGCTCGACTGTGGCTCATTTCATGTTGGGCTAGTTCAGCAATCGACTCGAAACCATGACGCTGGAAAGGGCAGAGCAAAAAGCCGCACTTAAGAGGCCGGGTGCCAAAGCACTGGTAGACAGCATTGCAGCAACAATTGGCTTTGTGTGAGTTCCGAGGACAGATAAGATTGGTTAGTTTTCTGTGCAGCCTGGTTGACGTATTTACAACGTCGAGCGGGTCCAGATCGCGCCACGAGTCATCTACGTCAGTCAACTTTTGAACTATACATTGCAGAGGGCGAATTACCTTTGACCACATGGTACCCAATCTTGGAACACCTCTCCCGGAATTGCGATGAGTTGAGGAGGTATTTGTAGATATCGGGATGATTTTGTTGGAATAGCCGCAAATATGCCGGCTCAGCAAACGCCTCCCTTTCCGCTGCATATCCGGGATTGCCTCGCTCACACATCAGAAGTCTGACGTGGTGCAGGAGCTGATCCGATACATTTACATTTCCAACCAGACCTATGTAGTTTTCGATGAGTGCAAGCCAGTGATTGGTGGCAAAATAATGCAAATTGTAACACCCATTCAACATCATGCTTGCAAACTGGGCGTCATCATCCACCACGCCAGGATCGTAGTGGCGTTGGCAAAGTAAAGTGATGCATCGGTTGGCTAAATCAAGTGTCGCATCAGCTAGACTAATATGGGCGGGAATGTCTTCATCTGGAGTGAAAAGATACCTAAGATGCTCAGCAATACTGTCGTAGTTGTAACTAGAAGGCTTACTCCTTGACAGTGAAATGTACAAATTGCACATATCCATCAACAATCTCAACAATGGGTCCGCATAGCATGCCGAGGTTTGGGGCCACATATGTAGCCCGGGCGGGTTCAAGGCTTTCGGGTTGAATTGCCAGGGCGTGGGCAAGTTCCTGGGATGTCAGGGGTGTCGGCGAGCAGCCTACCCATCCAAGTATCTTCCAGGCTTTATCGCGCAGGGGTTGTCGTAGTTTCTTGATTCTCGTTATGACTCGTTTGTACCTGAGAGATATGCCGTTAGCATAAAAGCCAAGTATGATACAAGGTCGCATACGCCTCGTCCAGACTTTGCGGCAGCACGGTCATATAGTCATGGATCTCTGAGACATCACTGAGCATATCAATCCCGTCGAGGACGATCCTCACATATAGGAACATTCCTGCAAAGCTTTGTTAGTAGAACCTCATGGAGTTTCGCGGATTTACGCACCCTTGGCTTGGGTTGCCAGTCCTGACATTGACTGGGTGAATTTGTCGCGTAATCCAGAGGGAAATCCGTTGCTTGCAAACAAATGTTTCACCTGATCATCCACATATGCCTGAATACTTTCCTTGTTGCGTTCATTGACCCGAACGCTTTCTGAATTGCTTTCAAGCATTGCCACAATGTCATCCTCCCGCCTGCTGCTGATAAGTAACCTCATCGCCGTGCAGTCCCGACTCAAGTCAAGAAGGTGCTGCAGGAGGATTCGACGCTCGACCATGTCTATTTCATCCACACCGTCGATAATAAAAAAAACAGGACCAACGCAATTCAGAAGTGACTTGAGCAAGGCGGTTGTCAGCTTGATGTCGCTCTTGGTGTGCTCATGGACAGAATGGCAGATGACGCCTTGTAGCCCTTCATTTTGCCCAGCGAGTTGAAACATGAGGGAGTGTAAAACAGTGAGAGCCGAAGTGCTGCTAATCAAATTGTGCGTTAAGAAAGCGAAAGCCGTAAGGCCGATAGCTTGAGCTTGATCTATCGCTGTCCCTGCAAGGAATGTTTTTCCTGAAGCACCGTCAGCGACAACCAAAACAGATATAGGTAGGTACAAACCAGCACCAGGTATTCCCTGTATCCAGAGAACGCGTGGCCCAGTGTTCGCTACATCTGTCCACTTCTTGAATGCGTCTTCTCGTAGCAACCAAGTCCCGGTGCCCTTACAAACGCGACCGCGGTACCAATTAAGCTTATCGCCGTATGTCCTGGGGTTAAAGTCTGTTTTTATGGCGTGATATTGTTGTAATTGATGAGACCGCTCAGTGGCTTTGAAGTGTTCCAGAGCCTTCAACCGCGCCTCATGTTCCTCCCGGATATGCTCGAGACGTACTTCGTTCCGCATCAGTAGGGTGTGTCTTTCGATGTGCGTTTTCACCATATTGATGTAATCTCGCTTTCGCGGCCAGAGCGCTTCGAAGAAGTACTTCCATCCTGTAGCGCAACATTCAGTGTTTAGCTTGGAACGTCGCCGGAGCGGTCTCAAAAGGAACGGTACTTACGGGCCATGGAGAAGAACTTCAAGCCAACTTGGTAAAAGTCAAGGATGTCCTTAAAGAACAGAACCAGCACGTCATAGAGTCGGGTATTCTGCGAGAATAGAACCGTAACTTCCTGGAACTCCGGCAACAGCAGCCCGATATCTCCAGCAGCACTAACAATCGCATCAAACGACTGCGTGAGAACGCTGCTCCACTGCAAGAGCAGCTTGATCGGACCCCAGATCAATGCCATTATATCCGGCTGTACTTGCAAAAAGACTTCAATAACACCGGCGTACTCTCGGAGACGGTTCAGGAACGGTTCGATCTTGGCAAGATGTCTAAGTTGTCCCTTCTTGCCTTGCTCTGCCTGCAGCTTATCAGTGAGATCGTAGACTTCGTCAATTGATTTAACCGCGAGGATCTCGGCGTAGAGCTTATCGTTGTCAAGATTTGTTTTGAACTCGTCCATGGCGGCTTGGAACGCGCTTTGGATGAGACTGTTAGTTGCGGCCATGATTGCAATGATGATGACCTGAAGCTCCGCTGTCACTCAGTGCTTTGGAATGTAGGTCGTGGGACGCTCCGTCCTGGAATGGTTCTATCGCGGAAAAGAGGTGAAGCAAGCCTGAAAAAGCCGTGAGAGAACCCGAAGCGAAGTGCCGTGCTCGACTGGTTTTATCGCGGAGACAAGATGACGCGAGGCTGAAAGAGCCTTGAGAGAGAATCAAAACCCCGCTGTGCGCTCATTCCATTCCAAGCCTGATCCCAGCATCCATCGGCCAATCGTACTATGCTGACAACTCCGTCGTTGTGCAGACTATGCCCAACCCCTGCTCTGCGAGTGCGGCTGAGCAGCTTCGGTGTCATCTCGACCCAAGAAAGAAGAGACACATATCAAGAGCTAATAGCTTGATATGGACATGATGATGGAAATGGGATCCTCGTGATTGTGGTGATGAGATTGGAAGCGAGCTCACCAGCGGAGGAAGGAGGGGATCTGCAGGCCGATGAGACAGGTCACGTGTTGACAAAACAGCGCAAGGAAAAGCTCAAACGGGAATTAATATGGCTCTTTCGAATTAAACCAATGGATAAAATGTTGAGTCCTGATTTTGTTTCGAACAGAGAATGGACAACCTAGCCCTTTCTTCTGGCCCGCGCTAACAATTATATACTTCAAGAACAACGGAAGGAGCTCTAGTGGGTGTATCTGTTGAAGCATCAGGACGGGCCTATACGTAGCCAATCGATTTTACGGCCTATCGGTATATGCTAACATATATGCTAACATATATGCTAACAGTATGCACGCCTTGATGAATGGATGTAACAGAACCACGCGAGAATAAAATAGAACGTATATTCATCACACCTGAATCGCTAAATGCCAATAAATAGCAAGCCCCCACCAAAACGCCGTAAAAAACCACATAGGAACACTCCTAATCCAACGAGTCCGGCTCATACCCAATCCGCTGCTGCTGCTGCTGCTGCATGCCACCCCTAGCCCTCGAATTCATCTCCATAATCTGCTTCTGCTGCTCAAACAGCCGCATTTGCTCCGCATACCGGTCCCGGTCAATCTTCGCGCGGTCCTCATACCCACTAGTCAGCAGGCGTTCGCGGTGCTGGATCGCAGCAACCTCTTCCTGACGCCGCTGTTTCTCAACGCTGTAGGCTTCCTCTCGGCGCCGTCTTTCATCATTATACGTCTCGTCGCGCTGGGACTTCTCCATGATAGCAAGTTGGCGTCTGTGCTCGATATCGCGGTAATTCGAGTCGTCTTTGCGCCGGTTCGCGAGGTCCGTGACTTGGCGCATGTACGCGAGTTCGGCGTCGTAGCGGTGCGAGGCGAGGGTTGCTTGGCGGGATGCAGTCTCGTGCTCGATTCTGGCGGTTTCGCTTGCGATCGCGCGGGAGTTCTCGATTGTCAGGTCATGGCGGGCTCGGAGGGCCGCGAGCTCTTGGTCTTGTTGGGCGCGGAGATGGAGGAGGCGGCGGTGGTGGTCTTCGTGCTCTTCTTGGATGGTCGCTTGGCGCTGACGCTGGGATTTGATCGCGCGCATGATTTCGTCTGGGGCACCGATCATGTCGGGTGGTTGGTCGCCTTCGACGGCCCAGTAGCGGTCGCGGCATTCGAATTCCAGGAGGAGATCGACGAGTCCGGCGCGTTGTTCCGGGGGTGCTTTGTTGAGGCCTCGGGAGACGTAGGCAAGTGGGGAGTAGCGGAAGCGGCCTTCTTCGAAGAGGTTGAAGTCGGCGTTTATGTGCTCGCTCATGAACACATCGAGAACGGCTTGTGTTACCAGGATGGCGTTGGGATTGTCTAGGGCAAAGTGGAGGACAGACTTCCCTCGCGACTTGCGTTTGACATTGCCATTGTTCTTCAGCAGTGCAATGGCGGCTTTGAGTTGGCTGACAGGTTTATTCCCGCCGCGCAGACAGAGTTCTGCCAAAGCTGTACGTCCTTGAAACCGGGAGCAAGCGTAGTCACGCTGTTTGCCTTCGATCAGTAAGACCTGCAAGACGCTAACATTGACCATCCTGGCCGCTTCGTGGAGGGCGCCATCGCCAGGAGCAGCGCCGGCGCCTACGAGCTGCCGAGCGATTTTGGCGTCTCCGATGGAAGCCGCGAGAGATAGTGGGGATATGCCGTTTGATTCAAGGGACGGATCAGCGCTGAAACGTAGTAGTGTCGCAATAGTGGCGCTGCGGGAGGTGAGGATGGCTAGCTGAAGAGGTGTGCTCTGGGATAGGGTTGTTTGATAGTTTACGTTTGCTGTGACTATTAACAGATTTTCAAAGAGTAGGGATTAGTGACTTACCTCCACCAGCGACGAGGATATCGATAACGTCCTCCTTAAGGGCACCCTTCTCCTTGGCAAGCGCCCAGCAGAGCAATGACACATCTTCTTCGCATTGTAACAGCGGAAGCGTTGCTTTGACAATCGGATCAACTGTGCAACCCTTGTCGACCAAGTACTGAAGCAGTTCGCGCTCGTTGGGGTACGTCTGAAGCATCTGCCAGAGGATAGGCCCGCAGGTGGGATGCTCATAAGTCAGATCAGGAGAAGCTGCGTGTGAACAAAAAGCAACAGCGATCTCGCGAAGGCCTTGGCCATCAACTCCAGATTTTAAGACCAATGGAAAAGCGCGCGTCATATGAGTTCGTCGAGGGCCATACGGCAGCAACTCCTTCAGCAAGCGCGCATTTCCTTGTGTCGAGGCTTCCATGAGACTGGCTCCTTCGCTGTAATTTACATCCGCACCGGCCTTGAGTAGATTAGTGATAAACGCAAACCCGGCAGGCGTGGTTGAAACAGTCTTGACGCTTTCCAGTAGCGCCATACTGACGGGCTCTCCCGAAGCACCGGCGGCCAGTAAAATCGAGAGAACATCCTTCTCCTGTTGCGAGTTGGCACGTTTTCCATTGCCCCATACCGTCATGAATATCTCCGACATGCCAGAATGGCCGTGGAAGTAGGGTTCAAGAACGCGGAGTGTCTCTACGTCATTGATCATGACGGCGTGAAGGATGCATTCCCCTCCTCGGTAGAAGACCGATGCGCCGGCTTTCAGCAGACACTGCATTAGCTTACCGTCGCAATATGGCGCATGTACCTGTTAGTTGTTAGCTTAGTTCATCCAAAAGCGAGTGGCATAACTTACTGCCTTGAGAAGAAGTTGGTCGAGCGTTTGTTGCGGTTTATGAGCTGTAAGCAAGAGCTCCATGGTCGCAACGCGTGTCTCGGCCTGGAGTGCGTCGAAAGCACAAACTAGCGCCGCGGCAACAGCTTCCTTGGAGACGTTGTACAGCAGGAACATCCTTGTCAAATCAATTCGATAACTGGAAGACTTGACGGCTCGACAGATTGGCGTACCGGTCGCATAGTTCGGAGAAGCCTTGTGTTTGAGCAGCAGTTCACAAGTGGACGCCTGCATCCACCCAGCATCCGCAGCCGACACAAGAGCCTCGTCGAGAAGCCGCTGTGAGATTGATCCGGCCGTGAGAAGCAGTTCGTACGCCTGATACTTCGCCCCAATGTCATGGATTGCCATGCTCAACCCAAACCCGCTGTTGAGTGTGGCCTCGGTCGGCTCGTGGCGCAATAGGTGGGCAAACAAACTAATGTCCAGCTTTTGAATCGCTTTGCGCACCGCAACTCCGTCTTCGTAATTAACGGATGCGCCATGTTTGAGGAGAAGAAGTACTAGGTCCTCATTCTGCTTGTCGACGGTGTGCAAGAGCGCTTTATCAAGAGTCTCTTGAGGCAGCCCTGTCGCTAGAAGTTGTTCTAGGTATCTCTTATCGACGGGTCGGTCTTCGGTCGGAAAAGCGTACAGTAGTGCCTTGTCAAAAGCCAGCTCTAGCGACTGGAAGGATGGGCTGGCGTTCATAAACAGCTTAAAGCAATCGAACATGTCAAGCTCTATGGCATCGACAAAGATCTGGCCCTGATTGTGATTGACGTCCGCTCCAGCCCCAAGTAGCATTTCCAGTACGCCGAGAGTCGTTTCGGATCGCCGCTTGAGGCCTTCCATTTCATGACGGAGCGCTGCCGTCCCAGTACTCCCTGACAAGTCTGGGCCGCTCATGAGTAGGATGCGGATCTTCTCTAGGCGAGTCCTGTCGCGTTGGAGGAGATCTATCGCTACCAAAAGGCAGGAGCAGAAATCGGAATCCATCAAGTGGTTATATTGCGCAAGGAGCTCGAGGATGTCGACGCTGCTTGACTCGATCGCTTTCTTGAAGGCTTCGCCATTTTTGTAGCCTGTGTTTGCCTCGCCGGCGGTAAGCAATAGCGAGGCTAGCTCACAGCCGGAGGCAGCATCGTCGACACTATCCACTAGTGCTTGGGAAACCTCATCGCCACGAGCACCGGCGTGGAGGAGGATGTGAATAATCTTGTACCGTTGACTTTCATCCAGTTTCATAGCAAGAGACACGCAGGTAGCTAGAACGGTGGGCGAAGGAAAACCGAGAAGTAAAATTTCCAGCGTCTCGCAGTCAGAAGATTCAACAGCGACGCGGAGAAGATCCCCGTTCCGCTGGCTAACATCAGCACCACCATCAACCAGGACCTTGATGAAATCTCGGTCACGATCGCCGGTCGGTCGCGACATGGCCAGCTTCAATATCCTATCCACTTCCTCGCCGTTTGCGCCGGCGTCAAGGAGTTTGCGGGTTATAAGAATCCGAATATCGCGAGGGAATGTTTGTACATGACGGAACACGGAGTTAACTGACTGGGCTGCCGGTTGATACTGGAGTATTGCGTCGATGAACTCTGCATTCTGGGAAGCGACGGCATCATCGAGGGCGGCGGCGTTGTCGTAATCAACTGAGGCGCCTTCCCGTAGCAACAATTTGACGCTCGCAAGGTCTTTGACTCTCACCCTTTCGACTAACGCCTCGTCGACGACCTTTCCAGCGGCACCCTTGTCAAGCAGGAGCTCTGCTAGTGCGGTCCACTTCTCGTTGGGGATTGAACTCCCGTGTTTTGTCTTGTAGATTTCGCTGAACAGGTCCGTCGCCAGATCATCGTCTAGGTTGCCCCTGTTCAAGATTTTCAGTGTTTCTAGGTCCACCTCGTGAATGGCATGTCGATATCCCTCAGCGTTGTAGTAATTGACGGAGACACCTTTGTCGACAAACAACTCCACCATGTCCGTCCATCGCTGTCGAACAGCACCACCCAGCGCAAGGGAAACGCATTCACCAGCTGCACCTCCATTCAACAGCAGCTCGATGAGATTGTATTTCTTGTCCTCGAGCATTTCCATCTTGAAGAAGACATAAGCGACGATCGGGGCGAGTGTCTCGGGCAATGGAGGGTTCGGGGACATGAACATCAACAACGCAAGGTCGGTACGCTTCGCGCGGATAGCCTTTTCCATCGCACTGGCATTGTGGGCATTGGCGTCAGCCCCGTGGGCAAGAAGGAGTTGGACGATCGGGGCGCTTCCTCGCTGGACCGCATCGGGAAGGGCGGAGGTAAGAGTCGCCAGATCAATTGCGGTCTGCGCCTGGAGTAGAAGGCGAACAAATTCTTCATCCCCGGCTCTCACCAACGTTATGAACTCTTCAGGGCAGGTATTCGGATCGGCGTTCTCTTCCAGGAGGATCTTGGTGTATTGTTGGCTGTGCATCTGGATAGCAGTGGGGATCATTCGGTTGACGACTTCCTGGCTCGCGGAATGGGCAAGGAAGTGAAACATGTCCGTCTGTTTATATCGCATCGTGCTGCAGAGCAAAAGGAAAAGCAAATCATCCGTCTCTTCGTCACCCGCTTGTTGCCGTCGCGCAAATCGACCAGCCCGCGCCTTTTTCGGCTTCTGCAGCTGAAGGCTCTCCCAAACGCTCTCTGCTACTCCCACTGCCCCAGATGTGTTCACTATCTGCGACAGAACTCCGCAGTAGTCCTCGTACGTCCATTTGTCCTTCTTAATCTTCGACGTTGCCGCGGTGGTCTTCGCTTCGCCGTTTCTTCGTTCTTCCGAGGCTCGTGCGAGGAGGAGGTTCGCCTCGGCTTCGTCTTCTTTCTGCGTTGATATCATGTAAGTGGATGTCAGTGGTAGAAGAGGTTTGAAGTCATCTGCGGGGATGTCGAGCTTCGTGCACCAGGCGCGAAGCCATCCCTCGTCCCTGCCGCTCTGCGCCATGGTTGAGGATAACAAAGGAAATAGAAAAGTGGAAAGATTAAGGTAAGTTGGGAGGGGAAGATAGCATCACGAAAGGGGGAGGAAGGTGGTTGAAAAGCTGAGAGAACTCAAGAGTTGAGCTCCGAGCTCAAAGCCGCATTATGGTGAGAGTGAAAGAAAAGCTGACTGGGCGTCATGGAAGCGCCCAGTGCTCAGCCCCGCGGCGAATCGCCAGTAACACTGACAAGCCAATAGGCGGCTGCATCATTAGCAGGGCTGTTTGAGATGTTATTGTTCTTGAAACAGCTCTTTCACCCATTCATTCACTGCGGGAAAAGTGACTCTTTAACCCTGGCTTTGATAGCTACCTTGTTGTGCAGCTCGTGATCATTGTCTCGAGATCACGCCAGGGCTCCTTGACACGATGACCGTACCGAATACATAGAGATGCGTTCTCATTGTCAAGGCGAGTTCATTATCCGTGGGCGTGGTCTAAGCTCCTTCATCAATTGCAGTGTTAGTCCATGGCCATAGCATGACCCCCCACCCCGGCGCTTACCGAGACAGCAAGATCGCCATTCACACCCACAGCCGGGCTGTCCATCTCTGCAAACGCGACTATTCTTAGAACAAGAGATGACCGTTATCCGAATGTCATCAGAGCTGTTAAGAATCGTGGTGCCTAGTCAAGCGTCGCGTCGAAGTCGACCTCTTGATTGTTTGTGGCGGAGAATCAACAAGCCGATCGAAACACGCAGTCATGTGATGCACAACTTTTTGTCCGCTACTTATGCACTTTGTGCTTGATGCATAACAACCGAGCCCTATCAACGTTCCCTCTTTGACTACCTCAACTTGCAACTACAAGATCGGCAAAATCAATGGATTCATTCGATATTCACCGAGGCCAGAACACCAAACTGATCAGTTAACAATTGCCGTTTAATCTCCGATCATCATGGTCAGCTGGACTCACCAGTGCCAAACGGCCGACTGGTATCAGTAGCAGTGTGCTTCGTCGCTGCAAGCTACAGACCATCATATAAAAAGAAAAATAGGGGACAAAGTGGGCTGGATTTGCCAATCAGCAGTCTACACTGGAGGATAGTGTACTTCAGGGCGGACGTTTCCAACTCCTGACAGGTTGTATCAATACTACGATGTAGGGAGCATGGGCAGAAGCTTCTTCCACTTGATCCAGTCTACTCCACGCTCTTCCGCACAATGCTTACATCGCCGAATCTGCACCTTGATGTTTACGTTGCCAAGAGAGTATATTACGGGTCATACTTCACGCAGCATTGTCCCCCAGCCGAGACAATTGCGCGGCCCGACGGAGGACTCACAAAACAACTCGGAGCTCCAGCAGCCGTGACTGATAACCGAAGGACAAGCTAAACATGGCAATGGCTCGTTGTGATTCTGAGCCTTCCCAATAGATCTCTCACCTCTCCGCTTGGCGCCAAGGCACCTTTATAACTCTCAGTAATCCAGGGGTACCTTTAAATAAGGGCTCCAGACGTTTTAAAACTATTATAAATATATATTTTTACTATCCTAATTTTATTTCTAACTTTTTTTTCCCCCTTTTACTACTTTTTATAATATAATAGCTAAAATTAAGGTGTGTACCCTTAACTAGCTTATAAGTATTAATTTAGCTAACTTTATATAGCTATAAAACCTTTTATTTTTTTTTAATTTTTATATTATAAAAAAATAAAAGGGAAAAAAGCCCTAGCAAGCCTATTTTTTTTATTATTAAAAATAATAGCATGCTAACTTTTTAGCTTAGCCTAGTTATAAAGGCCTTTTATAATTAACTTAATAAATAAAAGTACTAGGCATATATTAAGTATAAAGTTTTTATAAATTTTATAACTATTATTAATAACTTTATAGTTAAATAAAAAACTTAAAATTAAAAAATTTTTACTTATAATATTTATAATAAGTTTATATACTTTATTTTTTTAAAGGGATATGCTAATATTAATAATATTAATTATATTTTTTTATATATATAATTAGCTTATTATTATAATAACCTTTAATAAAACTATTACCTAAGAAAAAATAAATTTAACCCTTAAAAACTTAAGGGCTTAACCCACCCCTTTTAAAGCAAGTTTTTTTATTTTAATTAATATTATCTTAGGCAAGGTACCCTTAATTATTAAGTTAAGCGCCTTAGTAACCTAATTAATATATAGTAATTTTATTATAGCCTTAACCACGCGTAATAACCACAGGGTATTAATTATTTTTTTTAATAATAAGCTAATAACATGCCTGGAGGTATATATTATTTAGCAAGTTTTTATTAAGTATATACTAAAACTAACTATAACCATAATTATTTTTAAAATTAATATTACTTATATAAGCTAGGCTATTATTTTTAATAACCTTTTTACTAAAAATTTTTTAATAGCTAATAAAATAATTAATATAATTTATTATATTTTAGGTGCTATTAATATATATATTTCTTAAAAATAGTATAATTATATAATATAAAAAGTGCCTAGTACTATTTTAGTATATAATAATAGTAAAATAAATATTACTAAGCTAATTTAAAATAAAATTATAACTTAAATTAAACTAAAACTAGTTAAGCTTACCCTTTTAAAATATAAACCTAACCTTAATACTAGGTATATTACTTAAATAATTTTTTTTAAAGTAGCCTAAAATTTTTACTTTATTTAATTAAAGTAAGTATTACTAGCTTATTAAAAAATACTAGCTAGTTTTTTAATATAACCCTAGTTATTAAAAATATTATTACCTAGTATAATATAACCATGTAGCATGTTATATATAATATAATATAATAATTATAAACTACCTAGGTTTTATAAGCCTTAATTATAAAAACCTTGCGCGCTGCATAAACTACTTAGGTTTATAATTAATAAAATATAATAACTACCTAATAACCCCTAGGTATAAAAATAAAACTTTAATTTATTTATTTAAAAAAAAACTTAATAATATATACTATTATAATACCTGCTAGTATTAAAATATATATACTTAAGCTAATATTAATACCTAGCTTTAAGTTAAAATTAAATAATTTTTATTTTAAAAAAATCCTTAAAAGCATGTTATAAAAAAACCTAAAATAAATAAGTAGGGTTTTATAATAATTATTAATTATTATACCTTATAATTTAATATTTTTATTAAAAATTAAAATTTTAAGTAACTTTTTATTAAATTAATTTAACTTATTTTAACTAACGCGGGCATGCCTTTCTTACCTTAGGTAATAAAAACTAATACTAAAACCTTTTTTAAGCTTTAATAATAAAGTACTAAAAAAAATTATAATAATTATTATTATAATAATACCTAGTAATAGTAAAATTTTATTATTTACTAGGTAAATATAAGTAAATTTATACTTAATTATATTATAATTTTATAACTAGCTTATAAGTAAGGCTATAATATTACTTATATTTAAAAGCTTTAAACTATTATAAGCATAAAAATTTATAATTATTTAATATATAAGTACTACATGCTAGTAAATACCTAAAATAATTATAAAAACTAATTAAAAAAACACCTTAAGGTACTTACCTATATTTATAAAAAAAAGTATTATATACTAAATAATATTACCTAGTATAAAGCTAAAATATATTATAACTTATAATAAATAATATTAAAATTTTAAATATATATTAAAACCTAATTATTTATAAAATAATTAATTACCTAGTTATATTAATCCCTATTTTAAACTATATAATAAGCAGGAATCTTAATATTATATATAATATTTTTAAGCCTAAAGTAAATAACCTATACTATAATAGTAAGATTACTAAATAAGCTAGTAATAATAATATTAATTATATTAATAAGCTAGGTATAACCATGCACAAAGCTAGTTATATTTTTAATTTAATTTTTTTAAATATTTTATTTACCTACATGCTAGTAATATTTAAACTATATAATAATTTTAATTATAAAACTTTAGTTACTATAATACTAGGGCGTGAAAAAAAAAATATTAAAATAATATTATTATAATATATTAAATTACAAGCTTAAGCACCTGGCTAGGCTTATAAAAAATAAAATAATATTTTTTTTAGCCCAGGAAACTTAAAAATATAAAGGTATTAAATTAATATATTAAATCCCTTAATAATATTATTATAAAAGTTATATAAATAATTAATAAATACCCTAACCTAGGGAGCTATAACACCCCCTAATAGTTAACTAAATATATAAAAAATTATTAAGCCTGGGTAGCAAACCCTACCCTAAAATAAAAAAAGTAGTTTTTAGTTATAATTTATAAACCCAAGCGCGTGTATTAAACTAAAATAATTAATAATATTAAAAATAATTAAAAATTATATTAAATAATAATATAATATAAGCTAAAGCCTAGGCTTAAGGCTTTTTTATTATTAATAAATAATAAAGTAATTAAAAACACGCGGGAAAAGGCTAATATTTTATAAAAAATAATACTAAAGTATTTTAGTATAAATAATAATTTAAACTTTAATCCCCTAGTACTAAAGTACTAGCAGGGTAATAAATATTTTTACTAGCTAAAAAAAAATCTTATTAAAAAAGGTTAAAAAAATATTATTAATATAAGTAGCACCTTTCCCAAAGTAAACTAGGTAATAATTTATATTTTAAAGGCTTATTAAAAATATATTAAGTAAGCTATATATAAGCTATATAATTAATACTTATAACTAAAATATTTTTTTTTATTATAAAAGTTTATAAAAGTGGTAATACTTTTAAAAAATAATAAAAAAAATAAATTTTTACCTTAATCCTAGCGCCTTATAATACTACTTTTAATATTAAAAAAAAACTTAAATAAATTATAGCGCGTCGTGTTATTTTTATTATATTAATATAAAAAGTGCTAAGTTTATAATAATATAATACTTTATTTAAGCACTTGGCTATAAACTTAATAACCTTTTTTATTTATAATATAAAAATAGCACTTTTATAAAACT